AACAAACATATTAGAGGTTGGATAATTCCTTTCTCTAAGGGTGTTGCACCTTATGTGTAGTAAATGCCTTCAAATATTAGCTGACTAGATCAATGTCATTTTTCCCTCTGCTATTCCAACTCCATTTTGCTTATTTTGAAAATAATATTGCAATTTTTCAATTGTAGAAGAAAATTATGTCATTGGAAAAATTTCTCTATATGAAGAATAACAACCATATTTGCCAGTTAAGGAACCGTTTCAGGAATTGTTGGAAGGTGAGTTATTTTATAGTAACTATGCTTCAGTTGCCGTGCAGTACGTCCAGAAACAATCCATTTCAACTTCTGAACRTTTGGTTTGGAACACTTGTTTGATGAATATTCAGTTAAACACTTGGATACAAGCTCCTGCCAGAAGGTCAAATCTCTGCCATGTATCTGCACATAAAATTTTAAAAGTTATTAATGAATTAAAATAAAGTCTTGTATTTAACTACAGTAACAAATACAGCCTACTAACATGTGTCTTTCCTTGTCAAAAATGATTCAAGGCTAGCTACTTAAGTTTCAAATAAACACATTTTATTTCAGGAGATAGTACAAGTGGTCAAGTTTCTTTCACAGTTGTTAATAGGATTTAAGCTATGACCTTGACATACCTTGGAATGTTTCTGAAGACATTCTACTCCTTCTGTTAACTCTACACAGTTCTGTGCTTGAATCTCCAAAGCTATGATGGACAAAGCCAACACAGAAGGCTGAAAAGAAATAAATATAATGTAAATGTCAAATATAAAAACAGATMTACATAAATGTTTACTCTTTATAAAATATTTACCTTTGCTTTAGAAAATATGATCCTGCAATGACATGCCTTAAGTTGAGCTTCCAATCTTTCAAAATTAAGGCTATTTCTCCTTTAAAAAGAAAATGGAAGTGATTTTATTATATCTAGTCAGGAACAATTTTTTTAAAAATATTGAAATCTGTTTTTAAAAACAACACGCACATTTATCATAGGAAGTCATTTGAAGTAAAAGAAATTTCCCTTTTAATCAGAGACATTAAGTTTTTAACCTGAGTTTTAAATGATTTGAGCCAAAAATAAATAAAATGAACAGAATCTTGCTACAAATATCAAGATTTATTTTCATTTTAATCTATTTCTGTACCTATTGAATGTTCTTTTCCTATAAATCTGAATTAGGTGCTACACTGTTACAAATATTGATTTTATGCAATATATAGACTATCATTCAAATTTCTAAAGTTCATTTGTTCAAAACAAAGTGCACATACCTTTCAAATGGCAAGTTCTCTTGAATGAGTGAGTAATAGAGTTGCAGAAATTGAAAGGCAGTAGTAGCTTTAACTTTCCAACACACCTTCTCCAATACAATCTTTTCCATTCTCATCAGGTCTGAAACTGTGAATCTATATTGACTTATKCGGATCAAGTCAGTTGCCAATGGGACATTCCTTTCTTCTTCTATTGATTTAACAGCCAAATAAAAGCAGCTCAGTCCAACACACCCAAGGTGCTTGGGCTGTACCTAAAAACAAAAACCAAGCCGATGCGTCTATCATATTTCAATTAATATAGAATAAAAGATAATATAGAACTCAGACTCATCATTATGAGTCATTATACCTAAAATGTAAGCCTGTCAACACTACGTATCCCTGTTGGAAGTATTTTTTGACCAATATAACTAGTTTTCAGTACAATGTGTAGCTTCAGCATAACAAAATTCTGACTTTAACTGGTCAATGACTTAACACAAGTACGCAAACATGTTATAGCTTATACACAATTTTCCTTCCAGGGTGTTATATTTTTTTTCCACACTGTTTTTGCAGTAATCAAAAATATTTTAAAAATACTACTATAACACATACCATTTACTTTGCCTATAAATTTCAATCTACAACAAATCCTTTTTATGTATTTGTCATTTTCTAAATGTCTACAGTGTGAAACTAAGGTTTTAATCAGTATCTCTGTTCTCTTAGAACATTTTTGAAAAAAATTTTAATTTTTAAATTTTTCTCTTATAAGCCTTTAACAGTAAATGTACACTTCTTTTAAAGCATAATTAATTTTCTTTTTCTTTTTTTAAAGAGAGAGAGAGAGAGAATTTTAACATTTATTTTTTTAGTTCTTGGTGGACATCTTTGTATGTGGTGCTGAGGATCGAACCCCAGCTGCACGCATGCCAGGCAAGCGCGCTACCGCTTGAGCCACATCCCCAGCCCCAATTAATTTTCTTATTATTATGACTTCTCCTATGACGATTATCTGTAGAAACATTCCCACATAAAACTATTATACTTGAAGGACAGCTCTATACTCTTCATTTTGTGAAACACAGATTCAAAGGTAGTGCCCACACATGGTGTCTAAAGAGTTGTTTAATAAGTTTTTCAACCATTCATTTCAACAAATATCTAATTCTTTCTATACATGATGCATTGTGTTAGCTACTAAAGACTAAAATGTGAGTTTCATTCTAATTTTGACATTATCCAGTGATCTTGTAGGTATAGGGAAGGCAGATGTACTTTTAACAGTTAAGCTTTTAAGCTTGAAAGCTACACGGATGTCTTACAGAGAAATAACTATATACCAATACTCCCGGAAAATGATACTTCTTGAAACTGAAATAGTTAAAACAATTAGAATTTGTTATGATTAGTAGAGAAATATATCCTCATTCTTAATCATAATCTAGCATTCTGCCTTTAACAAACTTCGTTAAATTTAAAAAACAACTGTGCATACAGAAGCACTATTCACACTAGCCAAGCTATGGAGCCAACCTAGGTTAAATGAATGAAACTGGAGACTCTTGCTATGTGAAATAAGCCAGTCCTCAAAAGTCAAAGGCAGAATGTTTTCTCTGATATGTGGAAGCTAATAAAAAAAATAGGGGAGGGGGTGTTGGGGGGAGATTTAAAAAAAAAAAAAAGAATAGAAGAAAGATCAGTGGAGTAGACAAAGGGAAATAAGGGAAGGGAGGAGGGTGGGACAAGGAAAGATAGTGGAATGAATCTGACCTAACTTTCCTGTCTACATATATGAATACACTACGGTGAATCTCACCGTCATGTACATTCACAACACACTAATTTAAAAAAAACTATAAATAGCAGAAAGACCAGTAGAGAATAGGGAACAGATGGGGAGAAGAAGAGGTGAAAGGGAAATACTGGGGTCTGAATGAGAACAAATTATAGTCCATGCTTTTATAATTATGTAAAAATGAATCCTATTGTCATGAAGACTCTGCAATTATTTGATATTGGGCTATTTTCCATCTCAGAATATAACTAATAAATGATACATTATTCTTGATTATGATAAGGAAGCATCTAATACAGTAGTGCACAAAATTCCTATAGTGTTTTGGTTATTTGCTGAATATACAAAAGTTTATGAGTATCAGGCAGAAGCTAGCAACTACATCTCTAACACAATGAACAAAATTAAGAAATATTCAGGGTAATATAGCTTAAACATACCTTCATTTTAGACAGAAATCTGTCCAGCAAATTCACAGCTAGAGAAAATGTCTCCGTGTCGAAGCCAAAGAACTGAGTTAGACTAAGAAGATCTTTTACTTCAAAGTCCCTTAGTCTTGCAGTCATTCTGAGGCCATTATCGTGGGCAGACTCAATTAGCCTCAAGCCACAGACCTTTGGCTGACATCTAGACTCCTGTTCCAACAGGGTATTCAGCTGGTGTAGCAGTTTCTGAGAGTCAGTTGTTGTCAGTACCTCTATCATCTATATATAGAACAAATCCCAGTTAGGAGTAACAGTAGCTCTTTCTGCTTTCCTTGGCTATCTTTGCATTGTGCAAAGAGGTATTCTATAGTACATATCTTCCCTCTCTCAATGGGGCTAGGGAATCTAAATCATTGCAAAGCGCTGTTACATTCCCCTGCCCGCTTCTACAAGTTGGTCACATTGTAAATTCTGAGTTTCTAGAACACAAGAACTATACATTTTTTAAAAATGTAAGTCTTCAAGAAATATTGTGCAAGTTGCTTACTGACAATGGATAACAAATGAACAGACATTGTAAGGCAGGATACCAAAACTTTGGGATCGAACAGTAGCATGTATTGTGCCTCGTATTAACAATGTGAACCATTCATGTTACTTAATTTTCCTTAACTTTTATGTAAAGTGGGAAAAAGGTTATTACCTGCACAAGTCTACCTATGCAGATTAAAATGAAATCGTTTAGAGCTTAGCGCATAGGTAGATGCTTAATAATCATTGAACAATAATGAGCTCATTTCCACATCTAAGATGAAGGTTACAATATCTGATTGTAACGATTACACAAGATGATTAAAGAGTGTAGCACGGAGCTACTGATTTTTATCAGTATTATGAGGGGAGAGGGTGCTTTGCGGGGCACGTAGTAGGCTGGCGGGGCGGGGTGCGGTAACCTAGTCTGCGAGATGAACCTGGGAATTACTGTAACTGTGCATAATACAACTAAGACCCCGCAACAGTTAAGTCTAGATACGCGGAAGTTAACTAAAGCCTCACATCAATTTAACGACGGGAAGGCAGGACACCTTAGGGTTGAATCACTAACTTCAGGGGTCCAACCTTTAGGATCCTGGAGTGGTCTTTGGGACTGACACCTCAGGAGCACTGAGCCAGCTCCGCCCCTCCAGGCTCAGACTAGCCTGGGCTTGTGCACACACTCTCAGGACTAGGGCGCCGGCCAGACTTAGCCCTCCGCGCGTGCCTCCACCCTGCTTTCCACCCGCCCGAGAGTCACCCGAAACCCCACTCAGCTCACCTTGACAGAGACGGGGGCTCCTCAGCAGTAACCACCCTCCCCGGGCCTAACTCCCACTTCGCCCCAGGATATCAAATCCAAGAGATCGCGAAGGGGAGGGGATTCCAGAGACAGACTGGAAAGGCCCGGGGAGGGGGAGCTGCGGGTGGTGGTTTCAGCAACGCAGCCGAGASGCCTCTGCACTCCTCAGGGTCAGCTCCGAGCCGAAGGGGCCACGCCTGGCCTCCGGAGTGATATATTGGAGGGCGGGCCTTTCCCGCGGGGGAAGCATTTTTGCCGCTGATTGGTGTGGTTCTTTTGATGGATGGCCTCCGTAGTCCAAAGAGGGCTGGTCCATAGAGGCAAAAAGGCTTGGCCAATCAGCGCACACTTCCTATTATAAGGACTCGAATTCTCCGCCCTGTTGAGGCCACGCCCCTACCCCTAAGCGTCTCTCATTGGAGAATTTTCTAAAGGGTCTTCACGCCGGAGGGGGCCGAACTAAACACAACGTGCCAGCGCTTGTCACGGCCGGTCGTTCTGCCGCCAGCCAAACTGTCAGACTATCGTTCCAGAATGTACGGGGAATTTTCTCTGCAGTATTGTAATTGCATAGTGGTTCTGCCTCCTCTTTCTAAAAATACAATGACAAGTTAAAAAAAAAAAAAGTCAAGCTTTGATTTTTTTCATTACACATGGAGAGGTGGTAGATTTTCTGTGGTGCGGTTTATTTAAATTCCAGCAGGTTCTCTTTGTGAACTCTGGAAATCGACTATCTTCATCGCGTTTTGCTTTTTTGTGTAATCTGTCAAATAGTGTGATGGCGTTGGACTGTGTAATTTCTTGATCCTCTACTAATTTTTTTTGAACATGCTTTTAAAACAAATTTAAATAGTAATGTAAACAGTTAAGTTGATTTAAAACGAAAACTGTGTGGCGGACCATTAAGAGCAATACAGGAAAATCTTCATTGTAGTGAGTGTGAATTTCAGTCTCCTATCTGGGTGTAGAGTAATATTACTCTTCTTATTTAATATAATGAACTTAATCTGTATTGGCCTTTTCCCTGCCAGGTTAGTGGGAAAATAATTAGCTGGAACTCTTTCTGGATTCCTTCCCTCTCTCCTGGATTATCACAAGTAATCAGGGTCTACTAGTTAACAAAGTCTGAGGAAGCGGGCATAAGAGCTCAGTCCTCAGCGCGTACAGACTGCAGCTAGATATCTTTGTCCTCATGGTCAATTCCTGTTCCATGGTTCTCTGGGCATTGAAAAAGTAAAAATCTGAAAGATTTTGCTGGTACCTCTGCTTTTTGCCTTGCCATGTACTTTCCTGAGCCAGAGGCCCAAGACCAAGCCCTGGAATTGGGGACCGTGGTGTGAAGGGGAAGGAGGAGGAAGGCTAAGGGAGAAAAAGTTAATGCCTCAAGATAATACCTCAGTCAAATTATCAGGTCAGTTTTAGAAGTTGTGGCACAAATGGGGAAGGGGCTTTTGCCGCCCTTGAAAGTAGACAATGAAAATAAATTGGCACTTTATTGATTTTTTTTTGTGATGCTGGAGACTGAACCTAGGACACTATAGCACTGAACTGAATTCCAGCCCTGTGAATTTTTTATTTTGACACAGAGTCTGGCTAAGTTGCCAACCTGGCCTCCAACTTGTGATTTTCCTGCCTCAGCCTCCCTAGTATCTGGGATTGCCGGCATGTACCACCAGGCCTGGCTTACCTTGGTAATTTAAATTTAATTGAAAATACTACCTGCAAAAATATGTGAGTTTGCAAATGTACAGTTCTCCTTTCAGTTTTTAGGTCCTGTTATTCCTAATTATTAAATTCCCACTATATAAGAAAAAGAGTTTAAGAACTATAAAATATTTATAGCAATGACAAGCACACACAGGTTTGTTAATATTTATTGAACTTCTAATTTGTGCCAGTGGAGGACAGACTAGAGTAGTTCCTTGCCTTGTAGAACATATAGTATTGTGGGTAATATGAGCACATAGATTTAAGAATAAAATAAACTTATTAGCTTTGTGACTGTAAGCAAGTTATTTAATAACATTGAGTTTCTATTTTATCAAAAATAGCAAGTAAAAAAATCTTACTCATAGAGTAATTGAGAGGATTAAATAATGAAAATACGTAAAGAGTTAGGCAGTATTCCCAGAATACAACAAATTACTTGATAAATGGTGGCCTTTATTATTAACTTACAAAGTCACAAACATTTATTTTTACTCTCCCTTCTTTTTTCTTTTTTGGTGCTGGTGCCAGAGCTCTACGTATGTTAGGCAAGCATTTTACAATTGGGCTGTATCTCTAACCCCTAACATTTTTAATGTATGTATGTATTTATTTATTTATTTTTGCAGTAGTGGGGATCGAACCCAAGGGTATTGTATCTCTGAGCTATGTCCTGGCCCTTTTTTATTTTTATTTTCAAATTTTGAAACAGGGGATTGCTAAATTGCCCAGGCTGTCCCAGAAATGGCAATCATCCTGTTTATACCTCCTGAGTCATTGGGATTGCAGGCATGTACCACTGAGCCTGGCTAATGTTTCTTTTTTTAATGTCTTGCTTAAACATATGTTTGATTGTTTTTTATTGTCAGACTAAGTCTTCTATTCTCAGCCTAGAAGGAAAATCAGAGTAGYAGAAATGTTTAGCAGAAATAAAAATATCTTCATTGCATGTATTAATTTCTACATCTTATTTACACTTGAAATTTTCACTTGAAAGCTTTAGAAAATATATCATTGTTTCTATAAGAAAAAATGTATTCTTCAAGATTTGAATATTTTTACTTTTTATGTAAAACATTGTTTCACTAGCACTGAAGAAATAGTAACTAAATATAAATCAAATCAAATGAACTTTCTTTTCCTTTTCTTCTTCCCCTTCCCCTGCCATTTTATTCCATAGTATTAGATACAGACCATCATTTGAATAATTTAAAAGACCTAACTAGAAAAATCTAAAAATTAACAATTATATATTCTTGGAAAATAAGAAAAATGAATCTTTCATTACCTATGATCTTATTTTTAAAGAAGTGTAGATTTACAGATGACATCCTATCAAGAATTGTTTAACTGGCTGATTTCTAGAGTATGGTCTAGATTCAATGATATATTCAATTCCTGTCTTTGTACTTTTTTCTCCATCAGCATTTAAGTACAATAAGAACTAATGCTCAGAATAATTACCTTGAAGCTAGGCAGGAATCCAGACAGTAACGGGAAGATTTGATCATATTCTCTACAGGGTAGTATAGAAGAGCCTTTGAGCAATGAGGATTATGACAGGCAGGTTTAACATTGGTGATGTGTCTAATACTGCCCTGACTCACAGGGAAATTCCTAATTGTTTCTATTTCCATCTTGGAGGTGATAAAGGATTTGCACCCCCCCCCACCACAATATGCAAGCATTTTACCTTCTGTTCAGACTCACTGACAAATGTATAGAATGTTTGAATATAGAATTGTTCAACTATGAAGAGGACCAAGGAAGAGAGGATCAAAAAGAACTCAAGTGAGACCCTCAGGAAAGTATCTACTTCCTGTTCTTTTCTTGTAACTATTTATAGCCTCCTCCACCTCTCCAGGCATGCTCTGGTGAATCTACTCTGTTCTGTTCCTTTGAAGATAACTTGCTTGGCAGTGGCTTCTTTGATTCCTCATTCTAATTTAAATTTCTTTTCCCTTTACATTGTACTGAAATCAGGATCCTCCTAGGTCAGAACCTTTGTTACCTAGGGTGGCAGTAAACTGATGATAGCTTCTTTGCTTTAGGTCACAACTTCCCTTGTCTCTCTAGCCTTTTAACTCTCCTTTCCCCTATCTGATTTTGCCTTTGCTCTTTCCTCTACCCCAACCTCATTATCCTAACAATTAGTGAGTCCCAAGTTGGTTGTTTACTACTGCCTCCTGTTGGTGGTGGGTCAAAGCCTCTTTCTAGCATCAGTTTCTTCTGCTGCTAGAGGACCATGGGGAACCCTCTTCCTCAGAATTCCAAGGGTGGCTGCATGAGTGTGGAGGGAAAACATGTAATTAAGGTAACATATTACATGTTTCAGTTTGTCTTCAAAACAAAACAAATCACCCAAAAAAAATTTCAGGAAGAGATGCAAACTCTAGAGTCAGTGGCATGAAGAGGTGGGCACTCTCATGTGTTCCAGAATCTTCTTCAATCTTCTGATTTAAGCTAAGTCAGTGTTAAAGGTCACCATGGAGGAAGGGGCTTCTTAGAGATTTCCAAGATAATATAATTCCTGATCTGGGTTTTGAAAGATTTAGCCAAATGAAGAGATGATTGCAAAAGACAATGCAGACAAAAACAACACTATGTACAAAGGCATAGGGGAAAGAGTAAACTGATTTCTGTGAATGAAATGTAGATCACTCTGGCTAAAGTATGAAGGTATGAGGGATGTTCTAGCAACGAAACTGGGTAGAGAAGCAGTTATTCATCCTGAAGGACTGTGAATACCACATCCACCATTCTTTTTATTTATTTTCTCTCTCTCTCTCTCTCTCTCTCTTTCTCTCTCTCTCTCTCTGTGTGTGTGTGTGTGTGTGTGTGTGTGTGTGTATACAGGGATTGAACTCAGGGGCACTCAATCACTGAGCAACACCCCCAACCCTATTTTATATTTTATTTAGAGACTAGGTCTCACTGAGTTGCTTGTAGCCTTGCTTTTGTTGAGGCTGGCTTTGAACTCCTGAGCCTCCTTCCTCAGCTTCCCCAGTTGCTGGGAATACAAGTATGTGCCACTACACCTGGCTCACAGCCATCATTCTTAGAATATAGGAACTGCAGACTTGGAGGCATGCTCTGGTGACTGCAGACTTGGAGGAACCAACCATAGAATTCAAAGATAATGAAAGATATGGAAAATGACAATCCCTGGGAAGAAGGCAAATATTAATCTTTTCTCGGTGACAATGGACCTGAGAGGAAGAAGATAAGCAATGAGTGCTAGGCTTGAGACTTATCATCCTTTCCCAGCAATAATGTGTTTCCGACTTTTATAACCTCTTTCCTGACTGCCCAGAGTGCCATGTTCTGCTGAAGTCTCCATTGATTAAGTTCCCCTTGTTGTAACCTATAAAACACAGACCCTTCTTGTTGGCCATTTTCTACCCCAAAAATGAGCCTCTCCGATGCCTGACTGATTGACTTCAAAGCTTAATAAATGGCATTGATGAATCCCTTGATGTCTCCTCCCGTTTTGGT